TTAAATCATTATCTATTTATTTAATTATCTATTTATTTTTCTTTCGCTTTTTTCGAAGTATTCCTCTTTTCCATCTTGTATAGCTCCTTCAGTATATTTGTCAAGATCACTATATAGTATTAACTTGCAGTTGATTTTTTTTGCTTAATATTTTTAATAGTGTTTATATTGTCTACCTATATGGTTAGCTCTTTCATCTTTAAAAATCTAAATATAAATTGACTTAAAGTTCCTATTTTATTTTAAGCGTTTATCCATACTTTCTATTATAGCGGTTATAATATATATCTATATTTGCTATATTCTGTCAGTTTCGTTTATTAGTAGAAGTAGATCGTATTGTATTTGCCTAATATGTATTAAGCCCTTAACGGAAGCAATGCTTTTAATTAAGAATAGCCAGTGAACTACAAAAAATTACCATATATACTGAAAAAAATAGGTCTAATAGGTTTTACTATATAATTTGCTATTGCATCACTGTTCTAAAACTGCTACATCTAAAACCTTATGATTTGAAGTCAATTCCATACCAACAAATTCCCACAAATTAAAAGTGTTGCTAACTTACATCAAAATTTTAACAATAGTAAAGTAAATGTTTTTCTTTTCTTATCTTCCAATCATACTTTCTTTATTATTGAAAGTGTTCTATTATTAATTAATTATTAATTAAAATATTGGGCATCCCAACCCTTGTTTATATCTATAGATTGGCCTCATGTTTCACACAAAATCGGTCGCACACCCGAAACCATCAACAACTTGCAAACAGGGACTAGTAACCAGTGTAATAACGAATATGGTTTTATAAGTTTTGTTTTGACGATGATTTTAAGTTTTCCGACCAGAAGACGATGATTTGATCCAATATTTGAGACTTGTTTTTTTTGTAACACTAACATATTAATAATACATAAGAGGTCAATTTAATTTATTTAAAATTAATTTATTTAATAAAATCATTGTCTTTAAACAATTATGAAGAACAGTAAGTTTGAAAATGAACGCATTGGTTTGATTCTCAATTGATATTTCAAGGGCTTCTTCTACTTCTTGCTCACGCAATTTATTCTTATGTTCGGTATCAAGAAGAATTCATTTGGCTGTACGATCAAATCAGGACTGTACGGCGAATGAGCCATTAATTCGATTTGCTGAATGTTCAAATAGTCGGTTGTTAGACGAGATGTGTGAGCACTCGCATTGTCTTGATGGACAATGATCCGACGGCGCTTGTTTGTTTTCTGTATTTCACTGAAGACTTGCAGTAAATAAATGGTTGTGTACCATTCGAAATTGACTCTTTTACGTTCCTGTAATGGTATAGTAGCCACAGAGGCGAGGCGTCGAATGGTTCAGAGTGTTCACTGAACACCTTAACAAAGCTTCCTTTTTAGATTTTTTTTTATTAGGTAAATAATCTCGCTATATTGCTACTTAACATTTTTTATAATAGCTTTTCCAAACAGATTAACATAAACACAAAACGTAGAATACAAACAAAATCACACATGTGTTAGTTACACCCAACATTACTTACAATTAATAAAAGAGAAAACACATTCCTCTTAAAATATACTAAAGTTCAAAATTAAAACTGCACCGCGTTGCTTACAAAGCATGCAAATGAAATAACATTCACATTGGGACTATGTTCAATATTGAATACACAACACAAAACATACAAACAAATATATGTACGTAAAATAATCTTAACTCTTAAATTAATGCGTGCAAGCAGTTCAATAAAAAAAGTGCACTTCCAATGTTATGCAAAGTAAATACAAAAGAGAAAAGAAATGACTGAGCGAAAATCGCTTTACATTTGACGAGAGGATCATTCCACTAAACTGAACCAAAAGTTTATACAAAGCGTGCAAATACAATCAAAGTCACGGTTGCTGTTTTATATGGGGAAATGGTTCAGTATGAAAACTGAACCGGGCATTGTAAATACAAAGTAAAAGAGTAAATGAATGCATGAGAGTTTCTTACTCTTATATAGAGGTTGGAAATAAATCAATAACAAAGTCATTATTGCAATTTAATACTAGCAAATGGTAAAAGTAAAGAAAAAAATTAAAGAAATTTGAAGTGAAAAATAATATTTAGAAATGAATTAATGTGTGATTAAAGATTTGATTCAAATATCTTTTTTTAAACGATCTTCTGAAAAAAAGATTTTAATTCATAAAATGAATAAACCAACTCCAGATATGAAGAATTTGATACCTGTTGTAAAAATGTCGAAATCTATGGTAAGTCGTCGTTTTCCTACAGCTATAGCTTTATGGTAAATAAAAACCAGTGGATCACAGGCTGCGAACATTTAAATAAATTGTTTTATTGGTCTTGTACGCTATTTGCTTGTGGAAAGGACAAAACTTAGAAGTAGGGGGAATACGTTATAGTTGGAATTCTGTTTTGATTAAATTGTGAACACCTTGCCAAAAAGCTGACGCCTCGCTACCTTGAGTAGCCACATGACCAGTTTTCCCGACAAAACGAGCGACCATTTCTTTCGAAGCACTGTGAGCGCGAACAACTATTGTTGTTCGGTTTGACCATAAAGTCGGCTGCCGTTTGCGTTCCGGCTCATACACATATATCCATAATTCGTCACCTATTATGATCTTATATACGTCTTTTATAGCATATTTTCTCTATGAGTACCCGGCATCGGCGTGCAGATGATATAAGTTCTTAGGAAAATACTTTCTTGATAGTTCTGTTCCTCGGTGAAGACGAAAAATCTATTACATTATCCAAATTCGGCAGGATTTATTTATTCTTAACTTTTCTATACTAGGGTTCTTGCTAGACACCGTTATTGTACTTCCTGAGCATTTATGTGCACAAATCGAAAAGAGCATCTTTTTGAGATTTCGTCAAATCATAGGGGATCCAACGAGAACAAACGTTGGCCTTTCTCACTTCTAAATAATCGTGCAATCTCACAGTATGTCATATGACGATCTTTTACTATCAGTTTTTCCACAGCATCAATGTTTTCTGGCACAACCGATGTTAACTGATTTTGGTCGACCTTCACAAATTTTCTCAGTAAACGAACTCCGGCGACGATTAAAATCATTGTACCAGCGTTTCACAGTGGCAAAGGATAGAACTTCATCGCCAAATGTGGAAGTAAATTCATCAATGCACTCTTGTCTTGATAATACAAGTCGAATATCGTAATAAATCATCGCACGAAAATTTTTTCGCGTTAATTTCATTTTTTCGCCAACAACTGGATATATATGAATAGTACAATATTAAAGCAAATAAGGTTAAAACCATAGCGCTAGATTCCAGAACTTGGATTATAACTCAATTGAATTTTCTTTCACTTTCCTAAATGTTATTTCATTTACATTCTGCTATATGATATAGCCTATGTCATAATTCTCTTAAAGCGACTCTTACTTACGTCGGCTTTTTTAATATAGTCAGAACCTCATGTCTGGATAAAACTTAACATATATATTTTATCTTACAGCTATAGTATCACATCGATATTTAAAAATAGAAGTTAAATATAATTACAGACGAAATACTCTATAGTATCCACCTAAGTCCTTATAAAATAAAAATGTTTAATGTAATTATTATGTTGATATATGTCATCAGAACCTCAAGTTAATTATAATCAAACCCCAAATTATTATATCTTATTTCATATTGGATAGTTGAAAATAAATATTTCTTAAATCTTTAAAGAAGTAAAAACTTTTATTTTATTTTTGGCTTCAAATAATATATCCAAAACATTGAACTAACTTTTTGGATATTATTTGGATATTTAAAATTCGCTTACCTATGAAATTATTTCTCCTATGGTTGTGATTATTACTAACAGCGATGGGAGCTACGTTTCAAGGCAATTGTTTTACTCTTTTCTTGGAAGTTCTGGTAACAAAAAACCAAGTAAGTTTCTTCAAAGTCGATCGAAAAAAACGGGCCAAAATAATTGATATAATAGTGATTAACACTTTATCTTGACTTAAGAATTGCTTTTGAAGTATCAGCGATTCTCTAATATATTTAAAAAAAAATTTTGTTTTTAATAATAAATTTTTTTCAATGTTACTTAATCGGTATTTTCCGATTTTAACACCACTCGGTAAAGACAAATGTTTTCGTTTAACATTAAAATTTTTAAACATTAAATTAAAACATTAAAAGTTCTTCTGACACATACAAATAAGTATATATATATATATCTATGCAACTATAGTATCAAAATAAACTCCATTGAATAACACCAAATATTTGGATTATTTATTAAGAAACTCGGACATACATAAATACATTGTTTCACATACATCTAGAGATATTTAATTCATAAAAGTACAAAGATGCCTTCTGATAAAAACATTTTGCTTTTTAATATCTTAATATCAATTACATATAATATATATCATTTAGCAAATAACTAATCAGACTAGATTTTAACTAAACCTTACTATAATTTACAAATATTACAGTACAGTATAAACACAAAAAAACCTTAAATGCCACTAACAATATTTTAGATTTACAACATTTATATTTATTATAAATTTATTATAAATTTATTGATTAATTAAATTACAATTAAAACATTTATTTTTTTTTTTTTTGTTAATTATGTATTTTATTATTATTCGGAATATTCATTATGCGACTCCTTAAGTCCCTTTATTTATTTTTTTTTTTTTTTTTGTTGCACATAATTATATATGTATATATAACACATATGTAATACATTCTTTTTTGTTGTCTTCACAATTAATTACAATAATTCAAACATTTCAATACGTATAATTTTTAATATTAAATACTACTTTTATATATAAAATTTAGCTTTTGGACAGTACTAAGAATGAACAGAATGAAATTTGTACATACTAAAATATATATATATAAAGTTATAGTTAAAAAAATAAATTAATTAACCTAATAATTAAATTAATTATTCTATTATACGAAAAATAGTTTTTTTTTAAATATTTTTTGCTTTAAATAAGTAAGAGGCAGTATAACGAAAACTATAAATTTACATTGTTAGAATAAATCTCATTAGCATTAGAAAATATTTGTCATGTCGTTTATATATGTTTTTTTTTTCAGTAGTTGTTAACATAAAGAAAACAGCTTTGGAACTAAGTCTTTTAGAGAAGTTCCATATAATATGAAAAATTTTAAATAGTAACTGACATAATTATATACTAAAATGCAGTCTGTCTCTCTTCAAATCTCTGTAGGAGCAGTCGCAAAATTGTTTTAAGTGTAAGTAAAATGTTTAACACACAACACACAAGTAAACTAACAATTATATTTATGTAGAACTCCACGACGTAAATGATGAAAGGAGGGACTGCAAAACTATATGTATATAGTATATATGTAATGCATTTATTTATTTTGTCAGTATATATACTGCATTATAGTACTGGCGTTATGACGTCTTCAATGTCATATCTCTCTTGATAGTGACGCCCTGGCTAATACCGCGTTCTATTCATACTCCAATATATTTTTATGATAAAAGAGCAAGTATCTGTAAGGAAAAAGAACCATTAAAGAACAATAAAAATAGTTAATGTAAAAGTAAAATACGTACCCCTCACTATCTAATACTTGATTCAAAGTAGCCAATGTAATTGTATGATCATCGCACTTAACCCAAATATCCCTGTGATGCCGTACGTAAGCTGTATAATGACCACTACCAATTGTGCCATAATGATTCACAACTGCATATAATGAATAGCGAAAATCACCATAAACCTTGTCTTTCTCTGACATAAAAGGAGTCATATCGAATTCCACAGGAAATGATATAAAATTCGATATTTTCTTATCTATTTTCTTATCTTTCGAATACTTGAAGCGTTTCAAATGAAAACTAGCAACAACGGGTAACGTACGTAAACTGAGTTGCTTTGTTGATTCCTGATAGGAATTGCACGTGGAACAGTTAATTTTCTGCTTAGAACCTAAATGCTCGGCTCGTGTGTATCGTTCTAAGCATTCGATAAGTGTTTTCGGCGAGGCTCCGCCATGTTCGGCTTCACCCAAATCAAGTGATATATCCCAAAAGGGATCAATTGTCGTGGAAACACCCTTGCACACTTGACAGACTACATCACTTTGCAACATGCCAGTAAATATTTGATCAATAATGCAACTACATTGTGTTGGACAGTTGATTTTAGCGATTGGCGGTAATTTGTTGACACTCTCATTTTCATTCATTGCCTTAACACAGTGCCGATGCAATACATCGAGTGTTGTTATAAGGAATTCATGTGCGTCTTGTTGTTCATAGCCTGCTAAATGTTTAGCATGATTCCATATTAAATGTAACAAACGGTGCAGCTTTAGCGGAGATCGTACACCTGAATAAAATTCCTGTGTGGTATAAAAACATGATATATATTTATATGTATGTGTATATTAAAATTTTTACAAAAACTATATAGTATATATGTATAATCTACAAAATGGCATAGCTACTTACTCCTCTACATTTGATATACATTTGTAGACATAACCATTACATGGTTATGAAGTCGTGACAGTGACAAAGCTCCAGAAACTGGAGTTTTAAGCACAAAGAAAAAGTATACAGATAGACATAGATCAGCTTAGGTTGGAGTGACAATCTGTTTTCAGCTACCCCAACCTCTTTTGTAGTATGCCTCACGTAGGATTGAGATATACTAGTGTTGTACGTATTCGGTTTTACAAACTATACGGAAAATTCGATTAATGGGATAGTAAACGAAGTCTTCGGAGTTGAAAAAAAAATGGATTTTTTGTAAATTCGGAGTCTTCGAATATCCGGATTTGAAGTGAAATTTTTCGAAGACTTGGTGAGCAAAAGTTAAAGAATATGTTGTTGTCTGTAGGATTTTGTGTGTTCGGTATTTATTGCAGAAAATTATATATGTAATGTTTGTTTTATTTTACTTTATTTATTTGAAAACGGAAGCTTAATCTAGAGAATACTTAATCTGCATCAAGGAGAAATCTTTTGCTGAGTAAATGAAATTTTAGCGTGATGATTACCTTATTGTACACCCATGTATTCTCTTGATGGAATGACACAGTTTTCTTCTTTAAATATTGATTTTTTGTTCAAAATGTATAGATTTTGTATAGGTTCAATGAATTGCAAAAAGATTATTGTTGTTGTTATTGTTTTTGTCATTCCAATACAAACGACATCAATTGAAGAGTTGTATGTTCTGTAGTTACTTGAGCTGCTACTGTTAATAATATTCGTCTTGCTTCCCAAAAAATTTCAATTACCTACAATATATATGCTTAAAGAATATTTTAAATTTTATTAAATTTTCCCTCTGGTTTTAAACCGTAAAGTTTTATAGAGTAACACAATACACCAGTAGGACTAAGTGTTTCCTTAGAATCTTCATTATAAAGTAAGTATAATTGATATGAATTATAACGAGTGCAAAATTTTGGCCGACTCAATAATCTTCACACACTTTGGAATTGATGTCCATTTACTAAGAAGT